TGGAGATCAAAAGAAAAGAAGAGAGTTGTTGGGGCTGCATCACTGGAGGCTTTCAACAACAGAATGGAGAACCATTTGTCTGAAATGATAAAAAGGTCCCCTGCTTGAGCAGGGAGTTGGACCAGAAGACCTCCAAGGTCCCTTCCAACTCTGTTAGGCTATGTTTCTTCTGTGACCTTCTTCCACCAACTATGTTCTCCAGATCCATGAGCAATCTCAATCATGGATGTATAATACTTCTCTGGAAAACCTCACCCCACCTCACTGTCTGTCTGGAAGGACCCCACCTATGGGCTGAAGCATCAACAAGGAGGAAGGAGGCTTAGGAGGAGTGAAATCACCGCTGAAACTGCTTGGGTGTTACAACTAGGAGTCAAAGAACATGGTGAGCAATTAATTGGGACCTTGGGACGTCGAATGCATCAGCCCTTCTGCAATTGTATAAAAGCCCCAGAGATTCACAGCCCAGCATCAGATTCCTCCAGAGCTGAGAGAACTCACTCCGAGCAGTTTTCACCGCATCATCCGGTAAGTAAGGCAGGGAGATGTTTTAACTTGTGGGAACATCTTGGATGATCCTCCTTTGATCTTCCTTGGAACAAGTGTCCGAGTGGTTTATTTCTTGTAAAATAAAGCATGGTGAAGAGAGGAGTTAGAATTTCTTAGCTTCAAATCTTGATTTTTCTTTGTTGATGGGTACAGCTCAACAAAAGAATAAGGAGATCTCCCCAACTTTTTGCACCAAACTTGAGATGATTGGGTAGGTTGCAGCTTTCTCAACATGGACCATCTTAGCTTCACCACCCAAAGTTCAAATATCTTCCAGTGGTGATTTTAAGAAGTCTGGGAAGTCATTGTTTATTGCATGAACTGTTTCCATCAGAGAGAGAGAGAGAGTAAGGAAGAGAAGAGATGAATTATCCAAGATCTTCAATGCCATGAATATTTATATATTTTAATCAATGAAACATGTATTGTTTAATTGAACAAATCTTGTGCTGTGACAGGGAAGAGGGTGTGGACTTGACCTCAAAATCATTTCCAACAAGTGGAAGAGGGGGATCCAAACTCAAGAATCTGCTAGAGGAGGAATCTCCAACCTTGGCAAGACTTTAAGACTTATGGACTTCAATTCCTAAGTTCAGCATTCCTAGCTGATGAATTCTGGGAATTGAAGTCCACTAGTCCTAAATTCGCCAAGGTTGGAGACTCCTGTCCTAGAGCTATTCAGGAGTAGAGCAGTCTTCTTCTTGGACTTGTGAATATTCAAGTAACGTCTGAGATGGTCTGAGGAATCCTATCTGGGCTGGGATTTGAAAAAGAAGACCTTCAAGGTCCCTTCCAAGCATGTTTTTATGGATTCCCACCATGACTTTCTTAAGGTCTGTAGAGTCTGTGTTTCATCCTTTGCTCCAGATGCATCAGCGATTCTTAAAACAAGTGTTGGAAAATAGAGTGTAAAGGCTCAGATTTGACTAAGCTTTGCACCATCCGTTCTCTCTTGATTCTTTCCTGTAGATCCACCCGTTCCTTCGAACCAAGATGGCCTCCAGATGGGATCCCTGCTGCTTCAACTGCCCACCCACCACCGTGACCATCCAGCCACCTTCTTTCTCCCTCAGCATTCCAGGACCTTCTCTCCACTGCCCAGACCAGCCTCTCTGCATTGACCAGTGCAACCCTTGTGTTCCTCTTCCGTATTGTAGAAGTCTTCCCCTCCCATCAAGCAGCGCAGCTAGCGTTTACTCCCAGAAGTCCCAGCAGCAGCAGCAGCAGCAGCAATTTCAACAACGCTTCTAAGCGTTGACGTTCTACAGCCCAGGAAGAAGATGAAGATGGACCAGCTTACAAGAAAAAACAGATCACTGAACCAACCCAGAAGGTCTTGAGAGCTGAAAGTAGCACAGGAAAATCAGAACCTCAAATACCATCCTCCAAAATTGTTAGATTTTCTGAGGGACTCCATAACTGGGGATCATCGACCCTTTAGACCTGGGATGTGTCTGTATTTGGGCTTTCCAAAGATTCTTCAGTCACCCCGGAGGGAATTGGGTTTCATGCTTGCATGGCTTCTGTTGAATTCAATCCTTGTTTGATGGCTTGTCCGCTTTAACATTGACATCTGGAATATTTGCTTCTCTTTTTCTCCCCCTTCCAATAAAATCTTTATTGCATTGAAACTTCCTGTCTCTTGCTCTGAATGGTTATGAATTTATAGTTCATATTAGATTATACCAGTGGTGGGATTCAGCCGGTTCGCACCTATTCGGGAGAACTGGTTGGTAACTTTCTAAGCAGTTTGCCGAACTGGTTGTTGGAAGAAATCTCCTTTTGTTTTTTCCCACTTTACAGGGCTAATCCTGTAAGGAAGACAGGAAGGAAACATTCTGGTGTTGTTTCTAGCCTAATCTTTATTGCCCTGCTTATAGAAACTGTCTCTCCGGTTAACCCTTATTACATTCTAACAGCTAAGGCGAAGCGTCCATCGACCGGAGTGACATTGAGTTGGCCCCGCCCACACAGTCACATGACTACCGAACCCCACCTACCTAGCTTATCATTAGGGCAGAGAACAGGTTATTAATTTATTTGAATCCCACCACTGAATTATACACTTTAAATCAAAAATCTTTGTATATCTTACTAT